ACACTCGTCTGATGCTGAATATAGGAGTCAAAAATTTTACTTCGAGTGTTTGCTAAAATTACACATTAATCTTTGAAATATATTAAGGCCATTTTATATTTTAAGAATTGACGACTTTAAGTCAAACATATTAATTTAACATTTATTATAAAATCTTTTACGACTCCACTTACGATTTTTAGCGCATTAATTTTCATTGTGGATATAAATCTCAGCCTAAACCTTTGATCTATAAAAACATTTTATTGAAGTTGATGCTGACAAAAAAAATTGACAAATAATTATCTGTCGCAGGAGCAGGTCGATCTGTCTAATTGTGGTTTTGTTAGAATGTGCACAAGGGGAAATGGGACATTATTTTTTTCATTTAACATACATAAAAATTATGAATATTTTTTTTTTTAAATTTGCTTAGTAATAAGTCTAAATTGGTCATTTGCAAAATTACTTTGTTTAAAAAACCAATCTGATTGTCAAACAAGTACTCTGAAGTTGACATTAAAAAGATGCTCGAGGTTCTGATTGACAATATCTATGTGGTTTTTGGAACCAGGTCTTCCGACAATCTATTGGAATTTCCATGAGTACCAATTGCGCCCCGTTATTAGCAGACCTATTTTTGTATTCATATGAAGCAGAATTTGTTCAAAATCTTTTACGTGAAAGGAAGAAAACACTTGCTGTGGCCTTCAACTCGACAATTAGATATATCGACGACATATTGTCAAATAACAATGGTTATTTCCATTCTTATGTCGACACAATATATCCCGCTGAGCTTGAGAAAAAAGATACTACAGAGTCTGGCACATCTGGATATCTTATTAGAAATAGACGTTAATGGTAATCTAACAACAAAGCTTTATGATAAACGTGATGACTTTAACTTTTCAATCGTCAACTTCCCTTACATATGCAGCAATATACCCTTATCACCTGCATACGGGGTTTATATCTCTCAGTTGATTCGATACGCCAGAGCATGCTCTACGTATGAAAAATTTCTAAAACGAGGTAAGTTATTGACAAACAAGTTGATGAAACAAGAATATCAGCAGTCTCGTTTAAAGTCATCATTTCGTAAGTTCTATGGTCGATACAATGACCTTGTCAGCAAATACAATCTATCATTAAGTCAAATGCTGACTGACTTTTTTCATACTAATTGTTAGGCCATTATTTACACACTGAATTGTCGATTGATTTTTCCGTTATTTCCCGATCATGACAAAGAGCACACGGCGGGTGTGACCGGTCGGCAGGGGATGCTCCCTCCCTCATGGCACCTGATCCCACCTCTGATGTCTTAGAGGTCCGTGTTTTCTCTGCTCCTATTTTGTAATGTTTCATGGACTTTTGAGCTCGAAAACTGTTCGTTATCTCCACATATTTCATACAAACAGAAAACGCAACAAGTTTTCGGATATTAATTGCACTGCCAAAATAATCAATACATATTGAAAAAGAAGATGGGCGAAAAAGGCGGGCAAAATGCCTATAGTGCGACAAACATGAATTAGAAAAATTAAACCTCAATTATAACAAAATTTTCTTAGATATTTCATCTAAAATTAAAGTATACTTTATGTACAATCTCCTCAATTTGCAAAAATCTCACAAATATTGAAATTTTTTGCCAATGAAAGAGCTTACACACACTAAAGAGGGCAAAAAGAATCATTTTCTCATACTTTAACCCAGTTTTTCGATATGAGTGTGTCTTCGCTCCATATTTTTGAAAGTTAATCCTCAAAGTTTGCGTAAAATATACATTTTTGGTTAACACAAAGATGGAGCAAAGACCCACTATACCTTAAAAATACACTTTTATGGCACAACTTTCAAATCTTTCCGAGAAATACCTAAGTCCATTTAGTCCAAGGTTATATCACAAACACGATTTAAATGCCACCATTTATCAGGAGCTGTGTAACTTAGTGGTTAGCGTGTTAGTCTCAAAGGAAATACACAGGAATTTTATTGCTTAGGGTTCGAACCCCACGAATACTACGGTATTTTTTTTAAATAAAAGAATAATTTTTGCCGAGGAAATTTTCCTCAGAAAAGTTTTGTTTATCATAATTTCATTAATTTCAATTATGGGAACTTTACTTTGAATAGTAAATTCACAAATTGAATATGATATTTATATATCTGAAGCAATAGGCATTCTGCATGCACGCCTTGTTCACCCATTTCCTTTTAGAAGAAGAAATTTTGTTTTGAATACACTACAATTGCAAATGAAAAATGATAATAATATTTTTTTCTTTGCATTTATCGTAATACATGTCTATCACAACGAAGTATCTGCATTATCGTGTGATAAATATCTAGAGTATCAACGCGTGTATGTCCTTTTTTGTCAGAAGTCATTGAGACATGCATAATTATTTATTTTAGGTACATGTATATGTTATACTTGTCTTCTTCATCTTGTAACAAATAATGTGATGATATAATCTTATCCTTTATCCCCGATTTCTATTCTCATGATTTATTATAATGTAATTATAATTATAGTAAACAATTCAATGAAAATTAAAGTATTAAGATAAAACGCACAGAAAAGTAAGCTTACTGTACAGTTTTACAAGAAAAAAAATTTACTATATGCTTTTTCTAGTAATTTATTTTCTTTGAACTCTTTCATTTGGAATTACTTTAAAATGCTAAAAAAAATTGCGACCGAAATGATGTTTTACACTTGTCAGATGAAGAATATAAGAATCACGCTCAAATATGTTTAAAATGATGACAATTTATGAAATGCTATAACGGAATTTATATTTTAAGAAATACGGCGCTAAGTCAAACATGATTCTATTTATGGGATACCAGACGAAATTTTTCCTACATATTCATTTGCCTAAATTAGTAGGATTCAAAATACCCTCATCTTTCAAAATGTTGAATTGTAATTTTAAGAATTTTTTTCATTAATTAAATAAAAAATGCAAAAACGTTTTTTTTTCTTAAATAATTTCTTTTTTCACAAGCTTTTTATTATAGGCAAGAGTTTACTAAAAGGCAAGAAATAAGTCTCGTTATTTATTTTTTTCTTGAAATTTCAACAAAAAATAAGCATAAATTTCATTTCTTGAGACGGATAACAATTCCACTGTAATCTATAACTAGAATGTTCCTAAAGATATGAACAAATTGAAATATAGAAATTGAAAAAAATATATATTTATATAAAAATATTAGATGCATTTAAAAAAAATTGAATTAAAAGATCCTAATGGAAGAGTTATCCTTCTTTATTTCCCACCGTGTGTGTTATTTCAGAAATTATGAGCATTTTTTCAGACTTTCCGGACCCATGGATTTGCAGAGTTATTACTAAAGCAAATAAAAAATTATTTCTGCCCCTTACCCCAGCCCCCACCAAAACATGGACCCCATTTGAGAAATATGTTTTTCATGGTTGGGAAAAAGGAGTTTAGGAGATAACGAACAGTTTTCGAGCTCAAAAGTCCATGAAACATTACAAAATAGGAGCAGAGCAAACACGGACCTCTAAGACATCAGAGGTGGGATCAGGTGCCATGAGGGAGGGAGCATCCCCTGCCGACCGGTCACACCCGCCGTGTGCTCTTTGTCATGATCGGGAAATAACGGAAAAATCAATCGACAATTCAGTGTGTAAATAATGGCCTAAGAATTAGTATGAAAAACGTCAGTCAGCAAATGATAAATTGTATTTGCTGAAAATATCATTGTATCGACCATAGAACTTACGAAATGACGACTTCAAGCGAGACTGCTGATATTCTTGTTTCATCAGCTTGATTGTCAATAACTTACCTTGTTTAAAAATTGTTCATACGTAGAGCATGCTCTTGCGTATCGGATCAACTGAGAGATATAAACCCCATATGCAGGTGATGAAAGTACACTGCTGTATAAGTAAGGGAAGTTGACGATTGAAAAGTTAAAGCGACAATACGGCTGCAAAACGTGTGCTTTTTCATTCAAATTTACCCAATATATCATTAAGAAATAAGGTATAAAGTTGATGCAAGCAGTTTGAGAAACAGAAATATTTTCTCCTCATACAAAATTAACGTAATTAGAATCTGCCGGAAAACCAAGGGTCATACGAACTGGAGCAATCTTAAATCTGTTTATTTGTACCACGAGAATTCTAAAACGGCATGTGCCTACACTGTAGAGTTTACAATTATAATGAATATGAGGTAAAAGCAATTTTCAAAAGCAAATAGGGGTGAAACGATACACCTCCTTCACGGTTCGATACGTATTGTATAATTTTGTCTCGGTTCGGTTATTTTCGATACGATACATTTTGATAGAAGGAAACAAATTCTACGTTGTTTTATGCTTTCTTTTTCTAAATCTAGTCACATATTTTACGAATTTTATTTGCAAATTGACTAGAAGAAATCTATTAAAATTATTTGACTGTCAAAAATTATTTTACAAGCTATCAGTCATCAAAAATTTACGTTTTCTATACTTATTTATACTGAGTAACGTGTTATACCTTAAGCCAAACCCGACTGAATAACGATCCCGACCGAAAAATGAACCGAACCGAAAATTTGAGATTTTGCACCGTGTATCAAACCGAGAAAAAATACCGCGGTGCATCGATACCGCGGTGAACCGTTTCACTCCTAAAAGCAAATTATCATAACTTTCTGATAAACTAATATCTAAAATAATAATCGTTAAGATTTTAGTCTGCTTTCAGGCGAATTTAACAGAATTAAAAGTACAAATGTTTGTGTACTGGGGTCCGAGAAAGGAAAAAACCCCCACAAAATCATACGTTATCGCGGCAAATATCAAACAAAATATTTTTCTGCACAGTTAAAAAAATATTAGCACTTCAAATGGCAACAATGTTTATAAGTCATAGGTGTCATAGGTCATAGGTGTATTTTTATGTTGAGTTTACACTAATTTTTATTTCTTTGAAAGCGAAAGAAAAATGAGAAATGATAACAAATATCAACCAGCTGTCAACAAACCTGTCGAGTAGAACCTTCGCGAGCTCTGCGTGAGTGTCACCGAGTTCCCATGTCTTCCTTATCCAACGATTATATTAATCCCCAAACTAAATTTTATTCAGGAAAGTTGCTTTTTCAAGTTCTATTTTAAGTTTCCTTTTCTTTTTGGTCGACTTTGTCAATGTAGCAGGCCTACCGGGCTTCCCCCTCTTTCTATGCTGTTTTGTTTATGAAAACTACGCATGCGTGCATAACATGGAATGTGGAACCCCGAACACGTTGCGATGTATATATTTACGTCCCAGAAATAACTATTAATTTTAAAGAGGCTGGGGGGTTGTGGCCATTTTTAGACTATATTGATCTCCTTTAGAAGAAGAGCTCCATATGAAGATATAGAAATTGATCAAATTTTAAAACTAAAATTTTTGAAATGTCATTTTAAAGTCACCACGTTTATCATAAAGCTTGGTTGTTAGATTACCATTAACGTCTTTTTCTAGTAAAATATCCAAATATAAAACAGATGTGTCAGACTCTGTAGTATCTTTTATTTCAAGCTCACCGGGATATATCGTGTCGACGAATGAAAATAACCATTGTTAATTGTTAATTGACAATATGTCAAGAATTTTTTGACTGGGGTGGATCCCATATGAAAAAAAATCCTGGATCCGCGCCTGGAAGAGAGTGGGAAAATGGGGAAAAAATACAGGTGTGGAAAGAAAAAAAGGTTGACTTTTCAGCTTCTGACCTTAAGGCCACATAAATTTAAAATTAAATTTTCGTCCTCATGTGTCTTAAAATTGGGGCGGGTTGGGGGGATTTTATTTTTTATTTTCTATTACTCTAAACATCTACATAACGATCAACATTATGACCCCTGGGTCGAGGCCTCTGCTGGTGGACTGTTAGTTCCCGAGGGTCTCTACAGCCCAGTAGCTAAGTACTTTGGTACTAGCTTGAAATATGGATATATATTTAACTGCTGTGATAAAATTTAGAAATTTATTTCAAAATTAAGATTTTCTCCATCATGCATAGCTCTAATCCTTCGACGTATTTGGCTCCAGGCTTTGGCACTCCCTTTTTTCAGCTCTTCAATTTTTTGTTTAATTTTAAATATTTAGGTTTTCCAACCTTTCGGCATGAGCATCATTTGTCGAAATGCGCATCTGGTGCATCAAAATCGGTACCGTATAAGATTTACATTTTACAAAATTTTCACATTGTAAATGCCAATATGGATATATAGATTTGATTGCTTATTCTTTAAAATGACAGAATTCGAAGATTCTCTTTATAAAGAATATTGTAATATTGTAATAATGATTTTATGAGAAGCTTTGTACACGCCACACGTCATAACTGCTGGTATGAAATTAGGCGCGGTTCAAAATACTTTGTGTATATTGGTGCTTTACATGTTATTCACCACTTCTCGTTGGCCTTTTTCTAAATATATATTTTTCGTTTGACCTACAAATACTTGTGCTTTGTCTGAAAATATCACTGATTTCCACTGTCCATATAACGTCCAAGTTTTCGTTCTTGACACGTTCAATATTGTCAAAAGTTTATACAACACATGATGTCTAATTTAGCCTTTACTAAACAGTTCTAATAGATGTAATTAAAACATAAAGTCTACCGACAATCTGTATTATATGTAATAACTCTCCACATGCCCCTGTACTAAAAATAGTGCCAAGCGACTTATAATACAAACGGGAGTAACTCTAAAGCTTTCAGCGTGATCGATGCCAACAAATTTCCAATTGACTTTTCATTAAAAAAAAAAAATTGACCAAAATTTAATAAAAATGCGGCGGGACATTTTGAGAGGGGCGGGAGGGGCCATAGAGAGTTAGGGTATAAAATTTCATTGCAAAAGCTCCAAAGCTTCTTGAGATATCGCCCGGAAATGAAAGTGTTAAACACAGACATGATGTATGAATTTTCTTCCTTGACCTTTGATTTTTTGACTCAAAATCAATTGGGGTCTTCCGTAGGCCAAAAGGAGTTGTGCTATAAAATTTCATTGCAAAAGCTCAAAGGCTTCTCGACATTTCGCCCGAAAACGAAAGTGTAAAAACAAATAGAATTTATGAATTCATGACCTTTGGACCACAAAATCAATAGGAGTCTTCTGTTGGCCATAGGGAGTTGTTATGTAAAATTTCATTGCAAAAGCTCAAATGCTTCTTGAGCTATCGCGTGTTACAGACAGACAGAAATACAGACAGACGGACGGACAGATTTACAGACCCAAATTAATACCCCGACTTTCAGTGAAAGCGAGGGACAATGGCCCCGTAGAATAATGACTCCTTGTAGATTTTTGTAGAGATATACATGCATTTTTCTTTTTTGGTTAAAAAGATGAATTATAAAATTTAATCAAATTCACTTTTATATATTCGTCGCCCGCGTGGCGCAGTGGATAGAGCGTCTGCTCTAGAGTCGCGACGTAAGTTGATCTTTACGTCGCGGGTTCGAATCCCACTGTGGGACGTGGAGACCGGTCCTTCGGATGAGACCGTATAAACCGAGGTCCCGTGTCGCAGTAGGTGCTGCCACGAAAAAGATCCCTCACTGCTCAATGGCCCTCAGTGCCGAGCATAGGTCAAAATTTGCAGCTCTCCACCGGCAAGTGATGGCGTCTCCATATGAGTGAAAAATTCTCGAGAGGGACGTTAAACAACATACAAACAAACAAACAAACTTTTATATATTCCAGAGAGAGAGAGAGAGAAAGAGAGAGAGAGAACTGTTAATGATGTCTATCTATCGGTTAATCAAGTTGCATTTAAGTGCATGAATGCTTAAGTCAATGAATTTAACAGTGTTCTAGTACATAAATGTAATTTTCGGACATATAGCAAAAGTATCTTAAAATTTGAATATTAAGAAGAATTGCGTGATGTTATACTTTAGGTACATTTTTATTAAATTGAAAGAATAAGCATTAATTAACTATCCATGGTATATGACAAAAAAATTGGAGATGCAAGCAATTTTAGTCTAAACAGCAAGTACAAATTCCATGAAATCCGGCAAACCGCAGAAGAATGGAGTTTAATTTAAAAAAAAACTTGATCATGCAGATATCCATATCTCTTTCCCAAATGGCAACTTATCCACGTGCTTTATATATGTATCATCTTTGATTTTCTGAAAGTTCTCCTTTATCAGAGGATTGATAAATCTTGTATAAAGAAGAAATATTAAATCTGTTTAAACAAATATGTAATTCGCTATTGTCCAAGCAAACATCCATTTCGTCCGAACAATTCCAATAAAAACAATCTAATCTGCTTTCTTCTAAGTTCTAAGCACATTTAATTTGTCCGAAGGAAGAACTTATTTGTCCACTCAAATATCTTGTTTATCCGAAGAACGAACTCGTCAGATATTTTAGGAATGACTCTAATTCTTGGCCAAATTATTCGAGTATAACCTGGTTTGGGTCAGTTTACGCTTTATAATCCGCGAAGCGGATTATAAAACAGCGTAAACTGACCCAAACCAGGTTATACTCGAATAATTTGGCCAAGAATTAGAGTCATTCCTTATAATTTAATTCTAAAATCATTAAACAACTGTGGGTGTAAAATTTCGTTGCTTTTTATTAGTTCAAATTTGCCGCTCAATAATACAACCCTAGTAACGGAAGTGATGGGAAGCAAGGGGAGGTAAAAACTGATACATAGTCCTAGCAGCCATGTTTTTTGTTTGCATGTGGTAAGATCCGAGTTACTGTTTGAAGCTAAAGGTACATTTATTAAATCTGGAATTTTCCATGAATCCCGAGGACTGGAAATGAGAGCATTGCATGGATACAGACGATTCAGCTGGTTGTCAGGGGGGTGTGTCCCCATACCAAACCAGGTTATACAGAAATAATTTGTGTTCCTTTTTGGATATTAACCAATCAGAGGCTAGAATACAAACAAAATTAAATTATATTACCTTATTTGTCAGAACATATTTCAAATTTGTCTAAGCAAATATACATGTATATTTTTCTATGGGCTTCAACGGCACTACTGTTGTATAACATGTATTTGTTATTAAGATTCTAAAATTACAAAATGTATATCATAATAAAATAAAAAAGGAAAAATAAATGTATTTGCTAACAAGATAATTATTTTCGAAATGCTGACTTTGAGACTGTTGAAAGCCCTGTGTCATCATCTAATATGTCAGTATCCTGTCTCTGCTTAAATGTTGATCGTACTCAGAGCATGCTCTAGAGTACCTAAAAATTTGGTAGACTTAAACACCAAGCGTCTATAATGAGTAAAATATCCAAATATGAAAAGGATGATAAAGAAAAAAATTAAGATAACAGTTTTAACCAAAAGCCACTGCTGAAAACACAATATTTAGGTGAAATATGAAGATAACGAATAGCAATCAAGCTCAAAAGACCATTGGAATCACGTAGGAGCAGAGTAAACACGAACCTTTAAGAACGTTAGAGGCGGGATCAGGTGCCATAGAGGAGTAAGAATCCCCTATCGACCGGACACCTTCTCTGTGTGCTCCTTGTCATGATCGGATAAAAGAGAAAAATCAGAAGACAATTCATTATTAAAATAATGGCCTAAAAATTTGTATGAAAAAAAAATGAACATTCGACTTAACGATAGATTGTATTTGCTGACAAGATCATTGCATCGACCATAGAATTTGCAAAATGTTGACTTTAAACAGAACTAATATCATTGTATCATCAACGTATTTGTCAATAGGTTGCCTCGTTTTAGTGATTGTTCTTACGTAGAACATGCTCTTGCATATCGAATCAAGTGGGAGACTGGGAGTCATAAATTCCATATTCAGGTGAAAATGGTATATTATAACATAAATAAAGGAAGTCGAAGATAGAAAAGTTGAAGTCATCACGTTTTTCACAAAGTTTGCCATCAATGTCTTTCTCTCCTCAGACTCGTAAAATATCCAAGTAGGTATAATAGATCTAAAGATATGAAATGCTGTAAACTTTGAAAACCAGACCTTGTCACAGATCAACTCTTTTAAACCTTG